ATTTATTAGTTTATAGAGGTAACTTCCCGAAAAAAGTATGTTGCATACCGGAGGAAGTATACTTTATTATGCAATGGATTTGATTTGTAGTGTGTTAGTTTCATCAACAATAAAGTTTAATTACGAGGGATCTGTAGAGTTATTGCATTATTGGTTGGTTGTCTCTGATTGGTTGAAGTGTGTGTACGCCTTTTTACAACGAGAGGATTTGGGATGGTAGTGCTGAGTGATAGGGCTACGCGTAGGCTGGTAAAGCAAGCTATTACACCTAAAGTAGTTTTTTCTGGAAGGATGTGCTCTTCAATGAAAACGCATATATGCATTATTAACAAAAAGCACTTTCTTGAAGCAAGCCAGAATATTTTTTGACAGCGTTAGCGTTTTCGGCGGTTTTACATACTAGGCTCTTCATAATATCTGTAAGGTTGATTAGTTGGTGGGAACAGATCAGGAGTGCCGACACCAGTCTGGTCAACTATCCTGTTTCTTTTCCTCTTGGCGTAATGCTACGAGCAGAACAGAAAAAGGATGGCAGCAATGTTACATGTAGTAGTTAAAACAGGAAATGACGTCAACGATTGATCAAAACCTGCGAAAACGGAGGGTCAACCACCTTTTCATTTTTAAAAATTAAACACAGCACATCTTGCGCAACCAGGCGGGGTTCTGAAGGTGCACAATGGCAAGTTGTCACATTGTTAATTTTTGCTGATTCCTATTGGTCTGTAGTCAATAAGGGGCTTTACGAAATCATAATAATTACAACGTCGCAAGGGAGCAACATAACCATAAATAAGTAGCAACACAAGCTGCTTTAAAATATTAAATCGACCGGCACCTTCATAATTGCATAGCTTAAAGTATGTTGGGGGCGGGTCCAATCATCAAAATGAAAAAGTCGACAGGAGATTAGTCACGAAGCTCAAAGTAACCCTTCTTGGACTTTATCAAACAGGGCCGAGAGGGACTTTACGATGCCGTCTGCACAGCTAAACTGTGTTGTGCTATGCAAATATTTTGGCACATGAGATTGCTTTGCTGTGCTTTGTAAACATTTTGACAAACGAGATTGCGATTGCTATCCAGTGCAAACAATTTGGCAAACGGGATTGCGATTGCTATCCAGTGCAAACA